CATCTTCAGAAACTGGAAACTTTCCAGATTCTTCTGTAAGAATTAGTAACACATTTGATGATTCTTCCCCAAGAAAAATGTTTCTGAAAAAACTGCTTTTAAATCTCTTCTGATGATGTCATTGTTACAGTAGACATGATATCTGTTGTGATGGATAACATACAGTATCTCAAGCAACTATCAATTCTCTCCCACAGTAAATTGAAAGGAAAACAGCCTGGAGGGAAAAAAAGTCAAAATGACAGAACATTACAGTATACCAATGACAATGTAAATCATATATGTATATGACTAGTAAAACAATAAAACATGGATGTTGGAAACACACACACACACACACACACACACACTACACTGCTTGGGGAATTCAATCATTTCAAACATTATCTTTAGAAAATGTTCCTGTAAAAGTGAGACAGTGGCTTCTGTGAGACACTTAAGATACGAATTTAAGATACTTGAACACCAACATAATGCTGCTGCCGTTGTTCTACCCACAAACAACTCTCTCACTCACACAGTGTCCAATCAGTGAGTGTGTGTGTAGGCTGGTGTAATGAGGTGGAGACAGTTGTCCATTACTTCCTAAGTTGATGGGCTCTTCGCAGCAGTGCGCCCACAGCTGGAAGAGAGGCAGAGGAGGAGGCACCAACAAGGAGACAATACCACACATGCAGACATATTCCCTCTCTGTGTGTTTGAGTTTTTGACTCCCACTCTATTGTAGTAATAATAATAATAATAATAATAATAATAATAACTTTTAGTTTCGATTATTTGCACATGTATTTTAAAGTTTGACTATTGTGCAGGAAGCTAATGAAGATACCTCGCCTATATACATACCAATAGTCATACTTAAAAAAGAAGGAAAATGAATAAAAACAAAAAAACATTACACTGGCAAAATGCTTTCAGTGACAGATTGTTTAAAGGTTTCCGTTTTATACAGATTTTATACATCTTCAGGAACCTCACTACAGGGAACCCAATGGTAAAAACCTTATCCTGGCAGTGAAATTAGACCTCAGATAAGCCAGGACACAAATGTACTGAACTCAAGCAGCATTCAGACTTAGGGAGAGTTCGAAGTTCTGCTCAGTTTTTCTTTAAAAATCATTTAAAAAATCTTTCAAAGTAAGTCTAAAGCAAAGGTTTGGCCTTTGGATTGTCAGTGTTTTTCCCTCCTGTAGAATTCAGAAAGCAGTTTTATTGCACACATAATATAAAGGCTGCTTAAGGTAAATAAGCTTCAAAGGGACAACGAAAAAAAGATTCTGAGTCAGATTTACCACAATGCCAAAATTACATATTTCTCATACATTAAAAAACGTGAAGAAGTTTTCATTCTGTAAAAGTACTATGATACATGTAAAGATTTCTCTACCTGTAAACTGAAAAATAACCTTTTCTGTTTCTGAAACATTAGTGCAGATTTGGATATATACATTTTGGCATTTTTGTATTCTCAATAGATAAGTGTATTTTTTATCAGGTCTCTGGAAGTCTGTAAATATTAGGAGTAACAAGTGCAGTAAGATTACAAAACAAACATGATAGGCTGAGAACTTAGAAGTACAAACTTATTTATTTATACATTTTAATTGTTGAAATTCTGTCCTAGCAGCATATAAAGTAAAAGAGCAGGTGCACATCGCCATCTAGAGTTTAAAAGGCATAGCTTCATCATATAGAAGCTTCTTTGTACACTCATGTTTTCCCATCCATCCAAGGATGTACTTTATGGTTTCTTCTATGGATCGATCAGCATTGACTAAATATTTAGTAAACAAGCATGGTAATCATGTTCGAATTCAAAACTGATTTCTTTGTAGTTTAGAGAGGTTTGGAGTATATTTATTATCTACCCAAGATCTTCCTCTTCGTGTTGGTTCATTTTGTATAAAAGGTAAAAAAGAAGACTTTAATGAAATCTTAAATAAATATGTACAGATAGATTGATTGATTGATCGATCGATCGTCTGGTGTGCACAGTAGTAGAAAGTAACTATGTTTACACATTTATTATATTCAGCTACTTTATACTTCTTCTCCACCACATTTTAAGGTACAAGGTAGATTTATTTGTTATTTTACAATGAGATGAAGTTTGTGGTTCCCTTTGTGCTACACACAAAAAGCAAAAGGTATATACAAAAAAATTATTAAAGTATAAACAGAAATAATCTTTCTGCGTGGTGCAGTGCTGAGGGTGAATTTAGCCTGGGGGAAGAGCCGGGTGGTATGGCAGTGGATATTTCTGTATCTCTTGCCCGACGGCAGCCAGGTGAACCGGCTGTGGCAGTGTGGTTACTGTTTTTTAGTATCCTGTTAGGCTCTACAGACACCTCACCTTACTGATATCACTGATGCTCGGTAGATGGGTACCCATGATCTTCTGAGTGGCTCCAGACCCCTCCTGTCATATGGCAAGCCATTTTAACATTTATTCCTTAGAAGTTACTAGTCACTATTTTAGTTACTATTAAATAGTGACTAGTAACTTTTAAGGAATAAATGTTAAAACGACTTGCCATACCTGTCCTGGGCCGTGCACCTCCTATGCCAGTTTGTGATGTTCCCAGTCAGGATGCTTTCTATTACTCTTCTCCTTTGTAAAAGTTAACAAGAACTTGAAATGGTAATTTTGCCTTTTTTTAGTTTTCTGAAGAAATACAGCAGTTTCTGAGCTTTCTTTGCCAGGAGATGTGAGATGACTATGTCAGGGTCTCTGTGATGCTGATTCCCATATGAAGTCTCATCATCTGGCCGATGATGGAGGGCTGAGCACACAGCCCTGGGGGTCTCTGGTGTTGAGCACTAAATACTGTACTATAAAATATTGTACTTTTTACTCTACTACACTTATTTAACAGCTGTAGTTACCATTCACTTTCCGATTAATACAACCCATTATTTAAGATTAAACCAGTGTTTTTGGCTTGTGACCACTTACAAAATAAAGCTGTTATGAATGTCTGTCTAGTTGGGGTGGTTCAAGTGTCTGAGTTGTTAGAAGTTTCACCAAAAAGACATTTACCCCCTAAACTTCTCAGATGACTTCATTTACAGTTTGAAGCCAAATCGTTCCAAATTTCCATCAGACCCTTTTTCTTCTTTCCTCTCAAATTTATCATGTGACCCTTTGACCTTTTTACTGAAGTGAAGGATCAGAGTACTTCCCCCACCACACAGCTCTTGCTACTTGCCATCTTATATTGTTTGATGCAGAGAGGATATTTAGGAAAGACCCATTAATGTAACATTGAAAACAAATGACGCTGATGAAATGAACTGATATCAACTCAAGGTCCCACACACCATACCAACACAGGTGTTTTCACTTATGGCCCCTACTCTTCTTAGGACTGTGAGAGTGTGCGCTAGATTTCCTTCACTCTCCAGTCAGCGTTGTTTAACCTGCTAAGAGTGGGACAGCATATGCCTTCATCATTCTTCAACTGTTCCTGCCTGCACGCATCTGGGTCCTCACCCCTGTTGCCCTGTACGGAAGCCTAAGTATATACTTCTGTCCCTCCTCTTCTATTCACCCAAATTACGACAGGCCCGAGAGTCCGAGTCAGACACAGCTGGAAAACACTGCCAGAAGGCATGAAGAAGTGTCTGAAACAAAGTGGAACTTGAACTCAGTCCTCATACAACTTAGCGCAGCTGTGGTTCAGGAGATACAGCAGGTTGTTTGTGTCACTGAACCCGAAGTTGCTCCCGGTGTGAAGTGCTTTGTCCATTTAGGTAGAAAAGTTCAAAATAAATGCAGTCCATTTACAGTGATCTGTATGCTTACCGCTAAAAATCACATCCACTGCGATTCACATCAGTCAGTACTGACAAGGGGACTGTATACTTAAAATGATGTCATTTTTATTTCTTATGGTAAATTCTCTCTTCAATAAAAGAAAAAAACAATGAAACACTCATCAGACCAAAACAAAATATTCAAACACTTGCAGACGTTTTTTACCTCCATACCTGCTGAACATCAACACTGCTGCACATCAAAGAAAACTAATCCACAGCTCAAAGGTGTTGCACATTTACAGTTTATACATATATATATATTTTATAAAAGAAAGATGACATGATCTGAACATTATCTACAACACGAAAGAAAATGTTGAGTAGGTTTCTTCTCAGAAATGACTTCTTTCTGTGGTTTAACCTGTGATCCATTAGGCTTCAACGCAACACTGAAGAAAATAACTTTTCAACACATTTAAGAATTTTAAGAAGATTCCTCACAACCAAAGTAACAAACACAAGTACACGGAGTACAAGCCGCGGGCTGTTGTTGATTTGACTTCATTAACTGGATTGCTGCCTTATATGAACTCCACACATTTTTATCTATTGCAAATAATTATTTACAACCAATTATTCTACAGTTTCATAGCAATTAGTCAAAAGTTATAAAAACAATCAACAACGCACAGCCAGAAGATTTACAGTACAAAATCTTTTTTTGTTTTGAGTTTTTCCCTGAATTACAATTAGAGAGAGTGACTGATTATCTCATAACAGCGGGTTTAATGACAACACACCACGTCTGATATGTTGCAGTGGAGCTTTCCTCCATGTTTTGTATTAAGATGGCTGTCAAAATTAAGACACCCCTTTGTGATAAACATCTAATATTTGCTCACTTGGATTTTGCATAAATATGTGGCAAAGAATATATAATGACATTCGTGTTCCTTCGGGTTATCCTGGCAAACATTACAAGCTGCCTCTTGCGCTTCAATGTTACACAAAATGCTCCTTTTTTAAATTCTGGATGACAAAATAAAGCTTGCAAAAAGTCTAGATATTGTTGGAACAGACCATGTTGTCGCTGGCAAGGTATATGGTAGGCATTTGTTTTTTTATTTGTTTGTTCTTAGGTGTTCTTAAGTTTCTCTACCACAAATTCATCACAAGTGTCTTTATAAAGAGAACATAATGTCAAAAATATTTAGATTTGAATTAAATTTGAGCCAAGAACACATCTTATAAAAAGACAATTTTAATTTGTTGTTGAAATTCTCTCCTCTAGAGAATCTTTGAAAACTGCTTGTGAAATCTTAAGCACCATCGTGAAACATCGTATACAGCAGGTACGTACTTGCTATATTATATACAGAAAAATACAAAGTCATATTACCCATCGTGTGACCACCAACACCCTCGGTACCAGTACACACAGCTTGTTACTGTAACCAACAACAACATTATGGAGTTTAAAAGGGTAAACTAGAACATGCTTTTTTAATGGGCTAGACTGTGGGTGAGAAACGCAGTACGTTATAAAGAGAAACAATCAACAATGTTAACAAAAAGATACTTAAAATTGTCAGTCAGATAGAGAACTCCATGTCGTCCTCCATTAATCCATCCACAATAAGATGACTGATGATGACAGAATTTCAAACTACTGCTTTTTCATTTGAGTACTACTTTTCTTCCCCCCCAACACACACACAGGCGGAACATGTATTGTTCGCAGGGTCCAGGAGTTTTCTGATCTACAGGTAGGTGAAATCTTCAAAACAATGCTGGCACTTGCATGAAGCCTGCATGTGTTACAGTGAGAGAGAGTGTGTGTTTGTGTGCGTCTCTGCCTTGTCTCAGTGTCGGGGGCCGCTCGGTCGTGGAAGAGGGGCACCTGATCAAAGGGAGACAGAAGGGAAAAGAAAGACAAAACAATGTTACACAATATGGTTAAATTGAAGTTTACGGTCTGTTTATACCTGTTTTAGTTCACAGTACTTCTATATAAATGCTGGACTGTTATCCCAACATCATACTCAACCTGTACAAACACACCTCATAAAAAGGACAAAAAGAATATATTTCAAGACTAAGTGACCCACCTGGAGAAGCGAGAAGTGGAGGGCGGGAACTCTTTAGAGAGGGCGGGGCCATTCTACTCCCGTGAGGACCCCTGGGGCCTGGGTGGTATGGAGGAGCGTGGTGGAGTAAGGGCCCACGGGGAACAGTGGGGGCACCATACAGGCTGTGTGAGGACAGGGGGCCTCGTGAAGCCTGGGCCCCTAATGACGGACCAGGAGGTCGATGCAAGGACAGTAGCGGAGGAGGTTTGGTTTTGGGATAAGAGCCTAAAAAGGAGACATGTCTGAATTAAAAACATCATTACAGGACAGTTGAATGCAGACCTCTCCAACATGGTAACCAAACGGAACAATATAAACTTTTCAAGATTTACTGCAAGGCTATTGTTTTGGACTTCAATGGGCAGAAGGTTTACCTAAAATGAATGGGAACTCATGGTGTCTATAGCTTATGTCTATAATTCATTGTGAATCTGTATTGAAATAAAAAAAATATTTAAGATTAATTATTAAGAACTTAAACTGTACTGTCTGAAGACACAGGGAGGACAAAGTTACATTTTTATTTATTTATTATGTTTTAATATGGTTGCTATACCCTTGAACTTTTCAGAAATTAAAAAAAGACCCTTCAAATAGTCAAGCAAGTGGTCAACTCTGCAGTCTAACCTGGTGAAGGCAAGAGAGGACTGGGTGGGGTTGAGGTGTGGTCCATCATGGGCCCCCCTGCTCCAGACTGAGGTTGAGGGGGCCCAGGTGGAGTAGGGAGCAGAGGAGGTGGTTTCCCTAGTCCAGGAGGTAACATGTTACCCCTCTCACCCTCAGTGTTGGAGACTGGAAAGGAAAGACGAAAAGGAAAAAAAAGAACCACGGACAGACAGAAAAGGTGTGACCCAAAGAGAAGGAAAGAACAGGGGAAGATAAGAAGTTAAAGGTGCAACCAGTAATATGGACACAGCACCAGTCCCAGATCTTCTAGGTACTACAGTTTAAAATCAGCGTCCCACCTTGTATGTGTTCCTGGCGGCACCGGACATACTCTGAGATGGTTTCTAGCTCCTCGGGGTAGAGATGCACCCCCTCAGCTAACAGCATGAGGAGCGGACGGGTTTCCGAGGGAACAGTATGGCGCTCAATCTTTTCTCGTTCCAGAAAGTCATCCAGCAGCTGTGACGCCTGGGCTGCAATGTCTGCGGGGTCCCTCTTCGGGCGCTCTTTGACGAGTCCGCGACTGTACTCGGCTGCAACAAAGTCCATGGCCTGGTCTTTGGGCATGTTGCGATGGACTGGGGGGGTAATGAGAATGTTAAGGGTGAGTTGTCAGGGGACTAAAGGGGAAGAAAGTGCTGGAATGAGATAACCCAAAAACCCTAGAAATAGCAGTAAAATCTATAGGGTTCTTAAAGGTGAAATTGATTTTGCACTTTCAGCTGATAAATTGGTTCTTTGGTAGGTAGTACTTTTGAAAGAGAATGACTTGTGGTTTGTTGGAAGAAGAGGGGCATGCAATTTGTGTAAAGATGTGCATTTATCACTTACTTGAATTTTTTGTTGCATCATGTTCCGGGACATAAAATACCTGTTTAGTAAGCTCCAGTTTTTTGTGCGCATTCAGACATGCAACGCCACGGCACAAAGAATAAACTTGAGATGATTTGTGTATTTAAATTTTCTGGTGCAATAATGAATTCCTTTATTATATACAAGGAAATACATAAAAACTGATTTTATTTTGGTTGTGTAGCCCAGACTATAGAATGTACTTAGGGCATCTTTTGGTTAGCTGGTGCAATGTTCTTGTTTTATGCAAGTGCATGTTTGATTTTATATTATGCTGATGTGTTTGTGCATGGTACGCTTTTTAAATGTGGGGTGTTGAAACCACATAGGTTCCTTAATGACTTAAGAACCCTCGGTGACGTGTGTTCCCACATGATGAAATGATTACATTATAAATATAGATTGAAACATTGTTCTGCATGTATTGGTGATGTTTTGGATTGGAAGTATGCAGGTCATTTATTTTTCTATATATGTGTGAAGTGCAGAGAAGTTTCATATTGAGTCAACTTAAAGGAAAGCACATGGGTTTTGTTGTCATAGCACTGACCATCAGTTCCACTGGTTATGAGAACATCCTACTGACTGTAATAACAGTCAGTAATAACAGATGTCTGAATGACAATGAGCAAGTGGAATCACAAAGTGTGATGTTTTGGACCACAATATTGTAGTTCGCCTTGTTTGTCTCTTCCAAAGAAGTTTGACTAACCTGGGAATCTTGTCTGACCTCTCATGTTTCAGATTTTTAGCTATGTAGCCATTTTCACAGAACTCAGAAATCACTTTGATGAGTTGAATGTTTTAAAAACCAATAAAGCCGATGGCCCGAGCTCTGACAATAAAACCAAAAATTGTGGAAAACCAGTTGAGTTTTCTTTTAAAAGGAATAGTTTGACATTTAGCAAAATACACTTTACAACGCTCTCATGTCTGTCACACTCAAGATCGGCACCACTCATGTCTGTACAGTCAATATAAAGCTATTGCAAGCAGCCAGTTAGCTTAACTTAGCATAAACACTAAACACAGCTGGCCTGGATTTGTCCAGTGGTAAACTAATTTGTCAGGGAACAGTGACTTTCTGGATCTCCACTGGTTGTCAATTCAGCTCAGCTAATGTTACGTTTATATAGCCTAGGCTATTATGAGCTTGACCTCTGCGTGCACTGCAGCATTTCCTCAGAATAGATGTTTTGAATGCGGCTTCATTTGCTCTGCACAAAAGTATGTAAATTAAATCATTCAAAACACAAAACAACTACTTGTGCTCATTCGCCTATATCCCTTAATGCCAAACTAATTACAATCGACTACATTCATGTATCACCTAATACTACTTAGCTAGACTTTGTTGGCTGACGTCCGCGTAATGTGCAATATGAAACTATTCATAAAGTCAGTCTAACATCTGATCATTGGGTCAGTTAAAGATGACTAATATTTGATTAGGTGGCACTGTAGGAAGTGGTTACATAACCTTACATCCATAACAAGCCTCTGGCAATCTGTAAAGTTTGTCTGGCGGCAGCATATTTACACACACACCTTCAAGCACACTTCAAGAATTGTCACAGTTACACACAATAAGTGAGTTTTAGAGGTATACCAGACAGACATGAGAGTGATATTGATCACAACTCTTGGCAATAAAGTCAAACCAAAATGCTGAACTATCCCTTTTACATACCTACTTTGCTAATTTTGGGCTTCAATCAGTTTGTTAAGTATGTAATGTTCTGTAAACCAGTGTCAGAGTGCCATGGATGTATACTAAATGAATATTGTGTAGATATATATAGATAGACTTGGAGACGATTTAGTTTTTAATATAAGTGCTTTAGCCACGAAGACTGTGTTACTACGGCTGAGTTTAGCTTTAGAATGTTACATGTTGGTGTTTAATGTTTAAATTTTGGGGGGGGGTTACATTACATCTGTTGCAGATTTTGTTCTCAAAGACGTTGGGAGAATGTACATAACTTGTTAATCGCATTAGAGCGTCAGTTGAAAAGGGATGGGAGGGTTGTAAACTGAGGTTGGTTTGACTAAGCTTGAAGGAATGAGGGGTAGGGACTTACTTTTGAGGGATTCTGAGAATATGATAACAGTGCAGGAGGACAGAGCTATGTTTGTCTGCTCCACCAGAATACATAACGAGGAGCCGTCTGCTCGGACATCCTGCAGGGCCCGGGTCAGGCCCGATTCCGCCTGAAGGTAGAGCATTTCCACTGATAGACCACGCTCCTGCAAGCACTGGCTTAGCGATTTGGGGTAATCCCTTTGAGAGGAAGAGAAACACTGTTAACTTGACATTTCTATATTAAGTGACTCAGCAGGCATGTAGAGAAACCTAAATTATATCGGAGAGGAACAGAGGGTTATGTCTTGATTTATAGTAAGCTTTACAAACAAAAATGTAACCTTAAATCATCATTCCTTTTGTGTGGTGAATTCCATGTTTAATTAGACAGGACCAAGTGTAGCATTACATAGAGATTAGTGTGGCATTAACACAAGTTTTTTGGATTTCTCATGGATGTATTTAGTGTTGTAGTAGTATGTGTGTGAGGGTTAGAAGCTATTGGATTATTCAACATGTCATTTGTGCAATACATAGGCTATTACGGGTGTGCAATCTCTCATTGTGCAAGGGTTGTGCTACAGTTGGGAGGAATGCAGCCAATACGGTTGTTCAATCAAACTCAACTGCCATTGGAAGAAGGAGTTAATGTGCTTACTATATAGGTACCTGTCTAATGTATATGAGAGCATGTGTCGTGTTGCAGAACATGTGTTGAGAGATGTTTATTTCTGTATTTTGTAAAGCTGCAGAACGGACAAAACAAATTTCCCTTCACGGACAATAAAGTATCTTATTCATATAGAAGACATGGGTGAATTTGTTTTCACTATTGGTCCTTCAGTATAATGAAAACCCTACACTAAAAACGTACAAACCTGTGTAGCAGCTATTAGCAGTTTGCATTTTTGAGATCAGTCAGTTGAATGTTTGATATAGTTGTGGATAAATGTGTGGATATGGGTGAGTTTGGTTGCATTTTACATTACACTTTTCTAAAGCAAGGGCTTCTTCCCAGATTTACGCTTTGCTCTAGGGCTGCACGATTAATCTAATCGCAATGTTGTCATGTGTGATTACATAATTGCAAAAAAGTGTGTGATTTAATAAAACAGAAAAGGTGTGTGTGACACTATCAGGGTTTTTCCTGCATAAAGAAAACGTTGGTGTCCCCCCCAGAGAGGTTTTAGCAAGCGTCAATGGAAAATCACCACTGCCAAAATGATCAGAATTGAAAAAAAAAAAGACTGTTTCAAATATTCTCCTAATGTGCTTTAATAGCCATTTATCAAACAACTGTTGTGCAAGCAGAACATAAAGTTAAATACGACTTCTTGACTTCCAGCAGTCACCTCTCCTCTCATCCACAGCCACTGTATTTTACACATGCAGCTTGCTTGCACAATGATTTAATGAATAAAAACAACCCACAGAAATGAAACGCCTGTAACTGGATTTAATATTCAACTAGTGGTAAAAAAAAATATACTATTATATGAAATTCTAATGAATGTAGTATTTGAGATATTATTGTTACACTAACAGTATACTATTAAAGATCCAGTGTGTATTTGAGGATCTATTGACAGAAATGCAATATAAAAGATGACGGACAAACAGCGATACAGACCGTGTTTCATCACTACGTTCTTCTTGTTCTACTTCTGGTCTAATTCAGGCAGTGCAGACACTCATCACTATGCTGAATACGTATGTTAGAAGAAGTAGTAGTATTAATGTACTGTGGGAGTCAGCAAATAGGTTTTGCATCGGAGCGTTAGATGACAATATGAGACATAATATTGACATGCATTGACACAGTGTTCAGTTAGCTTAGTCGGTAAAGGACAGGACTCACACCCTGAGGGTTGAGTGTTTGACCCCACCTTGGGACAACAATTAGACAAACTGAAGAAAAAAATAATAAAATACACAATTGACTTGGCACAAGCATGTTAGCAGTTTGTCTGTGCACAGTGGCCAACATAAACAGGTAACTTTAGCGTTTGGAATGTACCAACCACAAGGATGACAGAGGAAACAAGGTTTATGTTGCAGGAGTGGTTTGAGAAGTTTCCATGGACATTGTGATACTTTTTTCCTACAGTGAAATTGAGTCACTTGAATTCATTGTTAATACAAATCATCCAAGGTGACTACAGCTGCAAGAGTCACCTTTTAAATCTACTGAGAAATAAATAGGCGTATGACTCCTTTGCTGTTTCTGTTTTGTTATGCCACAATCACGCCAGAAAACAGGGTTAATAAACAGTAGAAAGTAGCATGAATGCCAGCGCAATGTTCCGGTGGTTGCTTTGTGTAGCCCATAAACCGTGTAAAATGAAGGTTTTTCTGCTTAACAGCACAAAGCTGGGCAGGTGACAGGTGTGTTATACAGTGTTTGTGTGCTCTGAAAGACATCACAGTGCGGATATAATGTCACAGCTGACAGATTCTAGCTAACCATACAAATGCTACGTAAACATTTGTATAACACGTTTACATCCGCAGAAAGAAACGGAGAGTGGCGCCGGAAAATGCCGTAAATTTGCGTGTCCGCTTGGGTGTCATGTTAACATCATTGCCGACTCGAGCTGGAAACGGTAAATACGTGGCTACCCAGTCATTTGCTCAGGTAGTAAATGCCGATTGTACCGTTTCACACTGAAGACAAAAGCCCGGTGTTAGTGGGTGTTGGCTGGGTTTTTTTTTCCAGTGGTCATTAGCAAATTTATCCCTGATTTGTGAATAGTCTTTTGAATTAATGCACAATGCAAAAATCAGAATAAAGGTTGACTTGTTGTCATTTAGATAATAAATTCTGGATAGACTGCTTACTGCTGATAACCAGCAAATCATAATTAGCAGCATAGCGGTGTTAGCGCTTTTAGTACATCCAAGTTAAGCTGCTGGCAAGTTAGCAGATCTAACTATGTCATAATAACGTAAAGAAACAGCTGCCATATTTGGCACAATTGCAGAGTTGTCATTTATGTGTGCATTCATTTATGTTCATTCATTACTTGATATTGCATTGTGTAGTTAATGTAATGTAATGTTTTATGCACTTCTACTATACAAAGACAATAGTTTTTGTATAATCATCATTTGTCACCACATGGGGTAAGGGCAGATCAACCCGCATATGAATCATAAGTAAAAGTATGAAAAGCTGAGTATTTGTATGTATCACGAAAGGTAATAAACAGGTCTGTGTAGCATGTCACTGATATGCAACAATAAAAGCCTTCTACGAAATTAAGTTGTTTTGAGAGAATGTGTAATATTTGACATGTACTGTACAGTGAATAGATTTATTATTGGGATTTAGATCAGGCTGTATTCAACAACTTTAAAGCTTTGTGTTGGACACTATTGTAGACATGTCAGTTTGTACTGCATTAAAATAGTAGCCTAGATCGCATATTTTCAAAATGCAGAAATAGGAATACAATTCAGATTAACATTTATTCACAGGTATGGATTTGGTTAAAAGGTATGATTATCGTTACACCTTAGTGTAACTGCATTACACGGTACATTTTTGTTTATGAGCAAAGGTTGCAAAGTCACACAGCTCTTACTGTTCCTACTTTCTTCATGTATGAGCATGAATGTCCCATAGAAATGTGTCTTTCCAGACAAATCTGGAGGATGGGTGAAAAGATTGGTGTTTGTGGAACTGCCTTTTACCAGCATGCTCCTGAGAACACCAGGAGCAAGATGTGTAGGAGTATGCATTCTCAAACTAGCTTAAAGACATCTGACATGAGTCAGATATGTTGCTGTCAGGAGGAGAGAAACAGGTACCTTCCAGTCAGTGATCATAAATCAAACTTAAGTGGACAGACATAATCATTCAACACAACAGCAGAATACTATACTGAGATTGTTAACCCTTCAAAAGGATAACCTGGGCTTCATCTTCTCAGTTTTTTTGTCATGATGACTGATTATACTGCAAACCAAAGTGCTGTTGTCAAACACACACACACACACACCTGACATCTGATGCACAATCCACTGATTCCCAGTGGTCCAAGTATGAAAGTGATCAAATCCCAGCACGTTCACCCACATTTCTACTTCAACTGCTTGTGTCTTAGATGTTTGTGATAAGTACTCACAGGCACTGATTGGTGACAGAAAGGACCACACAGTCTGCCGGCTTCCTCTCCTCCTGCACCTGTCTGTAGAACTTCTGATACAGGGCTTTCCGTCTGTCTGCTGGAGTGCAGCCCTCTGGCTTGGCTGGGTGGTTGGTTTGAGGATGGTGATGACATTATAGGGAAAAAATATGAGGTAAATGGAGACTTTAATTTTTGATGCATTTCTTTTAACAGGATATTGGGGTGTACCATAACACAAAAGATTATTTTATATAAGCCAATGGGATACCAGTTATTTAAGAAGTGCAGTTTTATGTAATGTAAGATGCAGTAGCACAATCACAACGCAAGGATTTTCATATTGAGAATTTTTAGCAAGGAATAAAAAAGAGAAATATATGTTGCGGTGCTTTTAGTGATCAATATAAAACGATAATAAAATAAAAAGTCTCACCATTTGGCTGATGTTTATATCCCTCATACTTCACACTTCCACTGTAGTTTTGTATTTGCTCCAGTTCTTCATAACTGAAAGAAAAGCAGTGGGTCTTTTAATGTTTCATTTTAATGTGGTAGACATGTCTATGCCTACTGTTCACTGGTTCATTATATGTGATGACTTGATATGACTGAAGAGGTTATAAAGACTGAAATTACTACTCCATATACGAGCACGCAGCAGTTTCTTTCCAACCCCCACAGTGAGGTGTGTTTCAAAGAACCTGGGACTCAGAAATGAATGTACCGCTGTGCTAAAACATTCAGCTGTGAATTGTTAAAATACTTGGGTTAGTCCAGGTTGATTGAAAAATCTGAGGTGTCAGCTGTCCCAACCCAATTGTTGCAGCAACTCTGTAGCACAGACCAAAACAACACTAGTGTCGGTGTAGTGTGGCTGTAAACTAAAGCCCTATTTTCCACTGCACAGTACCAGCTCGACTCGACTTGGCTCGCCTTTGTTTGGTTTTCCATTGTGGAAAAGTTGTACCTGGCCATGCTTCCAGGTACCTTTTTTTCTTATCACCTCCGTCGAGGTTCCAAGTGAGCTGAGGCGATACTAAAATGTAACGTGAAAACACGCCAGATTGGTCAGAGAGAATCGTCATTATTCACTGCATCATCATTGCGCGCGACAGACAGAGGCCAGCAACAGATAGTTTTATATTTTACAGTTTTCGTATGTAATTTCATCACTAAATCCACTTCTGAGAAGTTTTGAGGTGAGAAATCAACGGTGTAGATTTCGAATATTGACAGTTTTACGAGAAGTGATGGCAGAACAAAAATGTGCTTGAAAGTTTTCGGAGTTGAGGAGCTCCGCAAGTGGCTGCGGGGGAAGCCTGCGGCAACCCGGGGGAGGAGCTCCCGAGGCCGGCCAGCCGCCCGCTCACAGAGCCCTCTGCTCCCGCCGTCACACAGACCGCTGCAGCAACAACGGCAGAGGAAAACACAACTGGAAGGTTTTCATACCGCTTATCTGTCTTTACATTCTGAGGAATGTTGAAACATTTTAACTTAAATAAAGAGAAAGCTGTGTGGATCGCTGGTGTGTGTGTTGCATTGAACATTAAGTCGCAGCAATTGTGTGTGGCGTAACTATGACGACCGGCTACATTGAGGGGTACTATCTCTGGGTACTATCTGCAATGGAAAACGGAGCACGGCCAAACCGAGGCGAGGCGAGTTGAGCTGGTACTGGTAATGGAAAAGCGCGATAAGACAGGTCTAGGATTTAAGAAATAGGACACTTTTCCCAATTTGTTAGGGGGCAGAGCTTAAGTGGACAGCTAAAAAGGTCCTTTCAAGGTTCTTGTAGGGAAATAAATAACCAGAAATGCCCGACAGATTAGCTAAAGAAGAACCGTTCCATGACATTACAATAATGTGTCTGATGTTTGAAAAAAACTACTACAAAAAAAAGGTTCCTTTGGTAGAAAACTGTACAGAAAACAGAGTGAGGTGGGTAGACCATCCTAAATGAGGTGACATTAGTTCTAGATAGAGGTGTTGGAGGTTTGTTTTTCAGATATAATTCTCTGATGCTTCAGACAACACAAAAACACTTTCACCTCCATACTGGGTGGCACCAGTTACAGAAAGCCATTGCTTACTTATTATCAATTTAAAGGAGGACTATTATACTGCTTTTCCAGTCCTATATTGTAGTTCTGTGACTCTGTATGGCAACTTTGCATGATTCAAAGTAGAGAGCTGCATTGGGATCCCGCAGGTCCCAACACAAATCATGCGGGAGCGGGCAGTTTTAACTATATTTAAAAAATATACTGTGGGTCCCGCAGTAGCGCTGATAAGATGGAGTCAACAAACGAAGTTGAAAAGAAGATTAACGTGAGTGCATGCAGCTGCTCCCGAGAATGTACTGCACAGGCCTGACTCAAACCGGAGACCTCGGCGGACACGCTCACAAGGAGGCTAAACCCTGTGGCCACTGGTGTCACTCGTCGGTGCGTCTCTTCAGGTGTCGGGGAGTGAGGATTACTCACTGCACAGCCTCACTGGCTTCCGTCACACAATACAAGACCAAAGCAAGGCAAGTCTGACATTTGGAAAACTTCTCAGTTCTTACTGACAAAAAAAATGAATGCAAATCCAAACATGTGTGTGCTTTTTTTACTCTGCATGTCACAATGTTTGCGGGTGTGGGCGGGAGTGCATACACCTGTTGCAGGAGTGGACGGTAGAGTGACAAACATGTTGCGGGAGCCTACCTGGGGTGTAGGCCTCTTGTGTGTCTGAGTGTGGGGAGAAGAGAATTACGAGGAAGGTGCGAAGCATATTTAAAATTTATAATAATAATGGATGGATGGATAATAATGTTTGTGGTGATTAAAACCTGCTTTCACATAAAGGTATTATGTGAAAAATTATTTGCCGGGGGTTACAATCACGATGCCTGCTCAACCATCGCTGATGGACGATGGCATTGTATATCGGCACAACCCTATTTCCCAGATCATTTTAACATTTATCTTGTGGAAACAAGAACAAATTGAGCAGGAGACTTTAATTATGATTTCAGTCTTTATGCTAATGCTATAATTTCCTGTGTTTAGTATAATATTATTGTGCTGTAAATCATTCATGGGCTTCTGTCATGTCCACACATGCGTGGTACAAATTGTCCACTGCTGTGCCTTTGCTGTGTGAAGAAATGACCATATATGGAATACCGGCTCCCTAGCTCTGTATGTCATAGAAAGGAGATTTTGGTAGAAAAAGTTCAAAACAGAGCCGAACAGGAGGAAATCTGAAATTTTTGCTCACAGAGATTTCTTTTAAATCATTTAACCTCATTTTTTGATGCTTTGGCCATGTTTAACATGAACATCCAACACTGTAACATTGTAGATAAGTCATAAAATATGGGAAAGCATAGCAGGTCTCCTTGAAGAGGCAGTCTGAACTTCTATTTCATAATGATCAAGACCATTGCCTAAACATACATATAATGGACCTTCATGAGGAAGTCTCATATAACTGGTTATATTACTGTTCTGAAATGTTTTTTTCTTCTCCATTTGTCAGCAGGGGCAAAACAACGTTTTGCTGTCAGTCTAAATATGAAACCTTATTTCATTGCTGAAAATAGAAACCTGTGAATAAAAGAAGGGCCTGAACAGCGAAGCACGAATGCTTTCCAGCCGTGACTGGACTATAATCTCCTTAATATCCATTAAATGCCACACAAACAGTGCAGATTAATAATGCGACACGGAGGCTTTGAGTTCTGTGAATGTAACGCTGGTAACCTCACCTTTCCAGGGCATCCTTGAGGTCTTCGGTCCTCTCCTCCCTGGTGGGGTAAGGCGCTGGTCTCCGAAACAAACGAAGTTGTTGAGCACTGCACAACACAAAAAGTTTTTTGTGGACCTCGTCAAACACAACTAACGTTAACTGGTGGAAGGGGGCTGCGTATTAGTTGGAAGACCCACACTGTTTGGTTTCTGCTATGGCTGCTACCTAGCATGATAATGTTAGCCGCTAATGCTAAACACTTGCTGCAAGGAACCGCACGGCTTACCTTCCGTTTGGGCTAGCTGGTGGCCGCCGGGCAGCTGCAGATGATTTCGCCCAAGACGACATTTTATCTGCACTTAAACTTCCCCCAAGCAAACCTAGGCTTTTAATCACAGAGAGGGAAGAAATTGTTTACTGCTGATTCTCCACCAGTGTTCTTACTCGGTGCTACTACAACTCCCCCCTGTTGTGGAGGAGAGGAGGAGGAGTTCTTCTTCTGGCGGATGACTAGCCACCTTACTGGTTTATTATCGCCACCTACTGGACTGAAACGTGAAAAGGTACTGAAATAAAATTGGCGTGGGGTAAAACTTAAGATGCCAGTAAACCTCTGTCATGTTTTGAACCTTCCATGATGCTGCTAATATCCCCATGTCCATCATTATAGAAATTATACTGCAGCTCCCCTATCTGTACTAAAAGAGTTATTACCCACATCAAAATTGATTTTCTTGTTCACCTCTAATGGTATAGCCAATCCAGTTTTTTGATTGCATCCGCTGAGACTTTGAGAGTCCCCAAACACTTGTTGGGTGAAACTAAATATTGTTTGTGGTGTAAATGAGGAGCTCTTCAGTGCCATTGTGTTGATGACTGGACCAGTGATGTTCATCTGTTAAGTTAGATCAGACCTGAATTATTTAAAATTCTGATGTCTTTCACTGGTTGTAGCTCCCATCCCTTATTCAGTCTGGCTTAGGTTTTGGGATTGTCTTGGTCATGGTTTATAATTAGTCTGACATCCTGCGATTAGGCACAGGAAAGCCTAGGGGTTAAGGCACATATTACCAAATAATTGCAACATCTCAGATTCAATTCCACCTGAAGACCTTTGCTGCTTGGCATGCCCTTCTCTTGTTCTGTTTTTTTTTTAAACATTTTATTTTACTCAATGCACATTATTCCTGAAGAATGCGCATCATCTTTGAAATATACTCATAGACACAAGCTTGCTGCAAAACCCGTGGGATGTAAAGGACCGAAATTAAAACAGTGAATCCCAGTGGATATGGACTTATTGTGTGAGGCAAAAAGGACAGTGTTGATAGATTTTTACCCTTGTTGGTTCAAAACTGTTACAAGAACAACCCTAATTTCTCTCTCATCATCTAGTATTTAAGATCCACCTATGAGGCTATATGGACAACAGCCAGATTGCCCTTTGGGAGCTGTCTTGACAGTGGATGCCTTTGCTCTTAAGGAACATGACATATGAGATAAGAACAGTAAAGGACACGGTCCCATGTCCAAAGAGAAGACTGTGCTTATGAGACAATGCAAGCATTAAATCCCACAATTAATGTGATGTGTTATTTTTAAAAAGGTTGCCAGATTTCATTCAACATTGTGTATGAAGGGATGGGATCGTTTCTGCCAACTACAGCAATTTTGGCCAGCTGGGCAGTTAAAGGTTAATGCCAGACAATGCTCCCGCAGTCTTGTCATCCAGGGTGTGCTTATCCCATTTACATATAGTGTATGTATATATTATCTTTTCTGTGCTTTGCTTTAGAGGAACTTATGTAAACAACTGAGAGAGAATATCAGAATCTGTGGATTGCCTGTGTATAAAGTGCAATCCAATGTCCATATGCAAAAATTGTAGACACTTTACAAGTAAAACTGTATTGCATTTCAGCATCAGCCCTGATTCATGTTAATGCATAAACATCCTTTATAATTAAAAACATTTTATTTGTTTAAGGTGTGTTCCAACTAATACATTTTTGCACTTCCATAAAGTTTGGAGATTTGTGAAAGACAGATTAAAAAAGAATGGTCAAAATCAAAGCTCAGTTCATTTTATAGGTCAAACTTCAAAAACACCTTCCTACACTTCCAATAACGCAACTGAATAACCTCTTTTATTTGACCCTTTCTGCCTGTTAAATGCCCATGTCTATAAATTTCATGGGGTGCCCCCTTTCATATACAGTACAGTCTATGGGTACCCCCAGTTTGTGACCCTGATGATGTCATCAGGGTCACAAACATTTGCACATGTTTAATTTTCTTTTACTTGAGAAAGCTCCATTCAGAACCACATAAGACATCTAACTGTTTGACTTATGAAATGGGCGGAAGGTTGTCTTGGATAACACTTAATTAACAGGGGAAATGCATCTCATTTATGTGTCTTCGTCTGTCATTCTAATGCAAATATACAAAAAACATTATTCAGACAGTAAGCTATGGGTTCTCTTTTTTGTTTTGTTTTTTTGGGTTGATCCTAGTTCCTTCAATATGAAACAAACAACACCAGTTAATTTTGCCTTTATGTAAAGAAACAACAAAGCCACGGTTCATGTTCTTTGTTTTCCATAATCCAGACAGAATAAAATAAGGCACTCCATGGCGGCCAGCACGGACCAGGTGTTTACTGGGGAGCACCTTGCGTTTGTGTCGCGCGGATAAGCTCACGCACACGTCTCGAAACGTGAGCGCGCCGCGGTGGTGGGGACAGTCGCCATTTTATTTTGAAAATCAAACTGAACTGGAGGCACAGCGACCCTTCCATTTCGTTAAGTTTGTTGTGAGAAACAAGCAGGGATGACCATCTGAATTACTTTCTTGGGAGCACGGTGAGATTCATCATATATTTGGCAAACAACCGTCGACAGGTTTCTATATAACACCCAAGCAACGATATTAATACAGAGGATGGCAGTTGGCCGCTAGTGCGGGGAGGGCTATTTGCTGAAAAGCAGCTGTCATATTGGTCTCATCAAGAAAGTACAATTCCTTAATTTAGAATGGTTCAGCCTGGGTAGTCCTATATAACTACAACAGTCAATTATTAGCTGTATAAGATATTGAATTTGGCTCGGTCTTGCATTTACCCGTCGCTACAGGATAGTTAGCATTTGCAAATATAATGTTAGCGGCTTCATATATTAGTCGTAGCCCGTAGATAAGCTAACGTTCACGCTAATGTTAGCTGGCACGATCGCGCATCCGCAATACTCGCGGCCTTAACGCTCACGACAAAGGCATGTGTAACAGTCTTCAAGCTTTAGTAATCGATTAGCTTGTCAAAATAGCTTTTAACATTTGGAAAATAAGCGCAATGTTAACTGGTTGTGTCGATTCATAGACACCAGCTTGAGACGGGCTCATGTTGCTAATGTTGGCTCCACGTTAATGCTAATTTGATAGCGTTAGCTCGTAGCTTACTGGGAGTTGGGAACATTTCACATAGGTTAATGTTGGAAAATGACAACGGGTAAGTTATGCCGATTAACAGTGATAGTAAAATAGGACAAAGGCGGAAAGTAGGGTTTATTATGCGACAGTGTACAACAAATTTAATGGTTAATGTTAACGCTAGCTAAATTATTCAGTAAACATGTTGGCTAACGTTAACTTACACTTCTCCCGTAGCAAGTGTTTACCAGCGTCATGGTGATGTTAGCTTCAGTAGCTAGGTTGCTCCACTTGCAACAGGAGTATGGTCCTCGATAGGTGACGTTAGTTTTAAATCCATTAACCAACTTCGCCACATATCTACAATATCTCTGTTAAAACTGATTACGCGTAACGTCCATTAACGTTAACGATACGTTCATTGTGAGTGCAAATGTTAGTTAACTAAGTTAAATTAGCTTCCTCTTTGTTTCAGTGAGTGATTTTTAACTCTCTGTTCATTAGTCACTCTTGGTTAGCTACTCCTAATACTACGTACTTTTGTAGGTTTACAACGCTGCGGTAGGCATTAAGCTATTGTAAACGAAGGAGTTGGTTTGTTCGGTAAGCAACTTGACTAGCTTTGACTGTGATGTTGAGCTACATCCGAGGCCTAGTAACGTACAAGCTACTTGCACGGCAAGTTTTATCGACTCAAAAATATCTCCGTGAAGACCGCTATTAAAGTACATTGGCTGAACTCATGCTGACATTACTTTGGGAATTAATTAGTAGATAAATGCCCGAGCAGCAGCGGGTAAAATATTTCACTGCACCTCTGGACGTAGGCCTCAAAGCCAGTCACAATATTTTGTATTTTCAATGGATTGGAAATATGGTCCATCATGAACATTGGACTACAGCACTCCACATTTAGTGCAGTTCACAAACAAAAGTAATTCATCCTTTTGTTTCTTGTATTGTTTACTTTGCAAAACCTTTTTGTGTGTGTTTTTAAAAAAAAACAATGTTTTTGTCCTTTCATTACAGATGCTGAATTTTATTTTACCTAGCACCGGGATCCACTGATCAGAAACCTAATTTGGAAGCCAACATTTTTTCACACCTTTGGGGGGGGGGGCAGAAGTAACCTATCACTGAAGTGACTAAAGGGGAATAATGGTGATTTTGCGCCGTGCTCGGCCGCCTGCTTCCGCCCCAACCAGCAATGAATCTTGACTCGCTCTCGCTGGCTTTGTCTCAAATCAGCTATCTGGTGGACAATTTAACAAAGAAAAACTACAGAGCCAGCCAGCAAGAAATACAGCATGTAAGTAGTAGCATAGACATCAAGTACGCTTTCTACTTTTGTCAATAGAGATTTTCTAATTTTTTCTATGTGAAGTGTCTTAAAAATGTCTTTTGTGTCCATGTGTACGATTGTTTTCCTTTTGCTCTCCCAGATTGTCAATCGTCACGGTCCTGAGGCAGACAGGCATCTACTTCGCTGTCTCTTCTCTCATGTGGATTTCAGTGGCGATGGTAAAAGCAGTGGCAAAGACTTTCACCAGGTAATTTTTGATTAGAAACACATTGATAACACATTTGTTGTTTGTTTTCTTGAGTTAACATTACATCAAAAGCAACAGTTTTCCTAAGTTTTTAAAGGGTCTGAACCCTTCCTTAAACTCAATACTCTTTATATTACTCTTATGTAATAAATACCATGACATACAGTATGTATAGATAATTTAAAAAACAAGGCAATGCAGACATAAAAATAAAGTGTGATTTCCCACTATAGTGTTATAAACCACATAACTAAAAAGAATGGTACACATAATACCAACATGTGCAATTAATCAAATTTTAATCACAATTTAAATTTTGGCTTCCAACAATTTTAAAAACAAGTTCAGTGAGATAAAACGATGATTTTGCCGCATGCCATTTTGCAAAGACGCTGGTTTTGTCCGGAGTAATAAATTCATCGTACCCTTTCCTTTTCGGCGGTGCCTCCCAACCCTCCCTAAAAGCCCAAACTTACTCTCATCCAGGCTGTTGCGTGTTTACTTCA